ACCGGTAGCGGGAGGAGTACCGGTAGCGGAACCGGTCGTAGCAGTGCTAGCTGTAACGGTAGTGCTGGTGCTTGTAGTAGTAGTAGTAGTAGTAGTAGTAGTAGTAGCAGTAGTAGTAGTAGCAGCAGGAGTAGTAGTAGTAGTAGTAGTAGTAGTAGTAATGTCAGTTGCGGCAGCAGCAGGTAGTAGCAGAAAGTTCATAGCAGCCACTAGTAGGGAGCAGTACCATGGAGCAGTTCAGCAGTATTTAGTAGTATTTAGTGGTAGCAAGTAGCAGTAGCAGTAGCCGTAGCCCTAGCGGTAGCGATAGCGGCAACTGTGGCAGTTATCGCAGCAGTTAGCATAACAGTGGCAGTGGCAGTGGCAGTAGCAGTAGCACTCGCAGTCGTCGTAGAATAGTGAGTGATGGTTTCATTGCCATTTTTGATGGTAGCAAGAGCAAGAGTAGCAGTGGCAACAGCAAGAGCAGCAGCAGCAGCAGCGGCGGCGACGGCGGCGGTGGCTGCAGCAGCAGCAGCCGCAGCCGTAGAAAGTCGAAGTGATGTGAAATGAGCATTGACACTCTTATCAAGCGCCATGTATCATCGTAGCCTTGAGAATCACCGTCGTCACCGCCACCACCACCACAATCACCACCGTCACCATCATCATCGTCATCGTCACCGTCACCGTCACCATCGTCACCACCACCATCATCATCACCATCATCATCACCATCATCATCATTAGCACCACCATCATCATCATCGTCATCGCCATCGTCGTCATCATCATCGTCATCATGATCATCATCGTCGTCATCAGCAGCATCAGCATCCTGACCACCATCCTCGTTTTCCTCCTCATCATGGCTACTACCAGCGTTGCAATCATCATCGGAATCGAAATCATTCCTTCGGCAGGCGCAGTCTGTTGCAAACTTAATTCGGAGAATATCAGAGGACGAGACGAGAAAAGGCCTGTTCTTGCTTATCCCTTCGCCAGGTACATCATCCAATGCGTGTTTTCGAAATCCTGGAGTCCGGGCCTTGCCCGGACGAAGCCGCGAGTGCGTGATTGTGGCGAGCTCGGAAAGAGTGCTACTGTAAGTGCGAAGGTTTGCGAGATGCAGCCCTGCAAAAGCTGGCATTGCAGATCACTCACACGGACATTTTGAACATGCAGGCAGGTGCACGCTAATATGCAGTCCTATGGACGTGTGTGGATTTGGTGGGCTTGAACGTGGCGCTGCAGGATACCGATCGCTTGCTGCCAAAGTCTGAGAATGGCATCCGAATCCTGTCCTCCGGAAGCGACTCCGTTGTTGAGGAGTGCCTATGTCACCATCCTTGTTCGCACGATCCCGGACAAGAATGTGCAGGCACGTCAATGAACTGGACGCGGGCCAGCGCAGTGATTGGCTCACACAGAGAGTCCAGACACCATGTACATCTGCTTTGAAGGTCTTTCACTCGAGCTCGCTGCTGCTCAAGGTGGTCGGGCCGAGGCTGTGATTTGAGAAGCTTTGCTTCTGCACTCGGAGGCGGTTTGCAGCGACCTGATCGGCGGCGCGTCCTTTGGTCGACCCCGCCAGGCCAGGAGTATCCGAGCGGGAACAACGGAGAGTCCTCAGCAATGGCTGCAGCAGCTGCAAGAGCACACAGATTATAGAGTTAGTTATAATGGTAGCAGGGGGGACCAAGATGGCAGCAGAAGAGGCACCCGAAGGCTGCTGTCGTATTCTGATTCCAGGTTTCCTTGGAGCCTCTCCTTGTTCCCCTGGCAGAGCGTCTCGGCGATGGGAACGTCCGGTACTTGGTCGTTGGGTCGCAAGATGTCCGCATTGCTGACAGGATGCTAACTTGAGAGACTGGCGGACGGTGGACCTGTGGCAGCAGGCTCGCGTGGAGAAGACAGCTCGGGATGCCCACTGGGACATTGCCAGAAGCGCCCGGCCCCGAGCGTAGCACCTGTACCTCACAGCGCCATGGAAATTTCCACTTGTCTTAGCAATTTTAATAGCATCAACTTATTGCAGGTTGCGTTCGAGGCTTTGTTTATCATTGTAAGGGAGTATGGGTCTTCGGTGCTGGTTTTTGGGACTCGCCTCCAAGACCAAGCAGCACACGGTGGGGCCCATGTAGAAGTGAAGTGGTCCCCTGCTGATGCTCATGATGCCGGCTCCATCCCCCCCGGGGTCCTGACACTGTTCTCGAACTCCGAAACAAGCCCGTGCTGCCGTGCAGCCTGACCTATCTTGCACCTTTACTTTGTCGGCTCGGCCCCTGCGAACTGTTGTCTGCCTGTTGGGCTGCCAAGAAATTTGCCACAGACCGTACCAAGCCAAGATGTGGATTGCTCGGGCTACTCGGGCGGCTACTAGTAGCTGAAACACAGCAGAGTTACCAGCTTTGCTCTCGCCTTTGAATGCCTGAACAGCTGCGAAAGCTGAAGACTGAGAGGCCTCCCAACTCTGAGTATTTCACTGGGGATACCTGTGCAGACTCTGGCCGGCCCTTGTGTGCATGGAGGGTGGGGAAGTTGCTGACAAGAGCATGTGGAAGACAGCTTCTACGGGCCGCTTTTCATCAGTAGCACTCCTCGTGGGAGCCCCGTGGGAATATGAACGATTGACATGAAGCTGAACTTACGGGCTGCAGTTGCTTCTCTCTCACCTGCTGTCAAATTCGTCTCCTCTTGCCACGAGCCCTCTGTGAAGATACAAAGCTTGCGTGTTCTGTTTATCCGTGCTGTTGACTGCTGGAACTTGTTTCTGCTGCAAACAGATACCATGCCATGAGTCAAGGGTGGCCCACTCAATCAGTCGGATCGCATGCGCAGAATTAGTCGTTCCATGGTGCTACTAAGTATGCGGTTTGTGACTAGTTGCAAAGTCTCAGAGTCTCAACGACGAGTGCGAAGCCCTGCCCCTGACGCGTGTGGGTAGGTCGGTGCAGCATTCGCAGCTCAGCACCTGCTGCGAGCTCCGAAGAAAAAGCCGCCAGTGGCATGGTTGTTCTCCACCGGCTTTGCTCGTAGGCTCGGAGTAGGAGGTTCCTTCAGCTTAATGTAGAAAAGTTCACAGCCGTAGATTGGACCGTTTTTCAAAGCTGCAACTCCAGTCTGTCTTATTTGTGGCCGACCGATGATTACAGACCCGACGGCACTGTGAACACAAATCACGTTCCCTTCCACTCGCAAGCGGCCCTTCGTACTTGAGGCACCGGCACTCCCAAAGTCCTGCGCATCTTGACCAAAGCCATTGTCACAGAGCCTCAATGACATTCAAGCTGCCAGTAGCATCCCAATCTGATCTCCCTGATATCCTTGTCGATCTTACACGTTCAATACTATTGTGATTAGAAGAACTTATCATTGCCAGTGCTATCATTACAAGGAACTCAGTGTCCAAGAACCCAGGGTGGGCTACTTTAAGGTTCCCAGTTTCCATCATCGCAGAATTTCGCATTTGCCAATGTAGGAGCAGTCTGAGGTTCTTGTCCAGGGCCTTGCTCGGGACACGGAGGCAACGTTAAATTCTGTTTAGGGTTTAGGGTTTAGGGTGAATCCGAGCATGGGTTCGGGGCACTACATCACCGTACCAGCGCTAAATTCCTGCACCTTCATCGTCCGACGATGTTGGCTCCGCCTCCTGGCCAGGACAGTGCCACCACGGGTGTTCTCCTCACGCCTGCAGCTCCTGGCTGCGCTGGTATCTGAGGTTCGGCTTGCATCAGTATAAATATAACGGTGAATACATATGCAAATACATATATAACCATAAACATAGGTGCAAAGAGCCATATAAGCAACTAGCTAACAAGCAAACACAGAAATAGAAAAGTACATAAATAAATAGGTAAATAAATCGATAAACAGATAGATAAATAAATCAATACAACATAGATAGATAGATAGATAGATAGACAGATAGATAGATACATATATCTACACATACTTGTACGCAAGCTCAACTTGACTAATTTTGCTGGCTTCAACATGCTGTTAGACGCACAGTTCAAGCTTTGCAAGACTCTTACGTCTTTGTCCAAGCGTGCTGCAAGGATTGCTCGTTCCTGTGCTGGTTGCGAGATGTGCTACAGTAACAAGCACGAGCTCCACTGTGACTTGTACTAACATTTTTGCAGAACATCATCACGAACCAACATGCTGGTTGATTTGATTTCGACTCGAGGTTCTGGACATGATGTAGGAGGGTTTAAGTCTCTGTTTTCATGGCCTTCCAGTCAATGCTGTCCTCAAGGACATCTCTCCTTTCATCTCCGCCTAAGCTCTCGACCGACATGACAAGTGTAAACGGTGTAGACCCCAGACCTTGCCAAGCTCCTCTGTCTTGCCGCCAGTTCGGTGTCCAGCCGAAGAGCCGTGATGGAATTGCCTTAGAACCGGCCGCGCAACTTGCGATGGCGCTGACCCCAGAAAGTAGTTGTCCTCAGAGGCATGAATTGCTAAGGCATGTTGTGGGCAGCATTGGTTTGAAGAAAACGCAATGAATTTCGCCTTGGACTGTGACTCTTTCTCTGTCATCCGTACTTTCATATGCTGCAACAGGTGTTGCTTCTGTCATTTTAGGTTTTCATGTAGCATGTGTGCATGCACGGTCGTGATGTTGATGTCGTGATGGTGTTATGATGATGCTGATTACGACGGCGGTGATGCTTAGCGGGTGCTTTCTGATGGGTCCTTCTCTCCCTTTCTTTTCTTGCAGGTATGGCTTCTCAAAGCCTTTTTTTGTCGGCTGAAACTCCGATCAAGGAGTGGTTCAGCAATCCGGCAGCTGAAGTGCGGGAGAGCGCCGTCAAATTGAAGCACAGCTGCACGGGGGCCAACGAGGGAGATTGGACTTACTAACCTCTGCATGTACTAACTTCAGCCTTTTGGCAATCTTCGCAAAGTTCATGGGTCTCAAAAAGCATGAGTTTTGCAGGTTCCCTCGATATTCTAAGCATCAGATGAGAGCCAAACGCGTTTGGCCTTGATAGGAACTGTGAACTCATGCGTTGGTTCACAGCACTCTACCCAGAGAACCCTCAACCCAACCCTACCCCAAACCTCCCAGTGAGTTGTTGATGGGCCTCGAAAAGGAAGGACTGATGCACAGATTGGGATTTTCAGGCCGCAGCTCTTGTGGCAATTCGGGTTTTTGGACCTAGACGGCTGGATTTCTGGTCGATCCCTTTCATCTTCATAACTCTTTGGCCTGCCTTGAGGCTCTTCAGGCTTGGCACAAGTTATTGCATCCTACATCCTCAGCTCAGGGGAGCTGTCCTAAAACCCTGTCCCCGCACAGGGCCCGGTACAGTCCATATTGCTATTTCCCGGCCAGAGAGCTTGCACGGGGCTCCTCATGATTAGCCCAACACCTTTCCTTACTTCGTGGTTTCTACTAAACCCTAAACCCCGAAACCCTGAACCCTAAACCCTGAACCGCAGAGATGAAGAAGCGCTACGTGAACAACAGGCACGGTTTGAAGCTGAGGAGTCGAGGTACTATGAGGGTGTAGAGGCTGTGGTGTCTGCAGAAATCGAGCTCCAAACGTCCAGGGCATGCAGAGAGTGGGACGACTGGGCTGTCTGGGACGAGATGAATCGTCCTGCTCCCCGGAACCGAAAGCGGGCATTCCTCGAGGTGACGGTCGGATCAGTGGATGTTGCCGATGGTGGTGGACGAAGCTGGTCCGTGCCCTTCGACCCTCAATCCGGGCATCAAGTGGTGCTGAAGTTCCACAAGGCGGAAGTGGATCATGAAGGTGTTGGAGGCCGTGTGACCCGGTTGGGTGATCCTGCAGGGAGTGCTGGGAGTGAAGCCTCAACCATTCCTGCTTTCAGTGGAGGTCCGCCTCACGAGGTGCCTGAATGTGGGGTTCCCTTGGAGTTTCAGCAGTTCCAGAAGGTCTATGAGCAGTGGAACGAAGGCCAACTGTCTAACGATGATGTGAAGCAGCAGTTCGGCATGGACACCCTAGAGTTATTGGAGACCCAGAAGATTGTCGTGGGTGGAGAATCATGTCGAGGGCAGGCAGCATGGAATGGGTCGTCTGTGGATGCTGTGAATCGACTTGAGGGTGAGGGCAATGTGGTGATGTCTGGTGGTTCGTTGATGGCTCAGACTGATGAGCACAAGCCGAGTGAGATGAAGGAAGCGAACGAATGCACTGACACACTCCTTGACGAAGTGTTGGCCACGTGTAAGAGCACTACTGAGGCAGATTGAAGCAACTTCGGAGGTGTCTTTTAGGCCTGCCCAAACTGGGCTCTCCGCCTACTGACTCAGCAGACGGAAAAAGGCTCTCAAAAAAAAAAAACCCTGGCCCTAAACCCTAAACCCTAAACCCTAAACCCTATTCGCGCTCGCGAGTGCCCCAAGTGAGTCCTGAGGATGGCGGCCTGTGCAACCCTCGGAGAGCGAGGGCGACGAGGTCGGAGAAAGAGAGGAGAGCCCTGCGAGAGCGCTGAGGCTACAGCCACGTTGGCCTTAGCCGCATCGAGATGTGCGAAGCCTACACTCTTCAAGAATCTGTGCCTCTGTCATGGGAAGTGTTGCAAGTTTTGCAGGTACCTCGCCCACCTTCGACAGGTGGCCAACCGATCTGTTCGATTCCTTTTCAGAGCTGCCTCCCCAATGTATTTAGTGCTGGACGGGCCGTGTGGCGAGGCGCAGAGAGAAGTCTTCGATGCCGAGTTTCAGCGAGTGTCGCATGCTAAGGCGCAATGGCACAGGTTCTGGTTTTTGTGCTTGCAATGGCCGGCGGCGACCCATGGAGAACAGCAAAGACAAGCGCTTCTCCAGCAACTGCAGCAGCCGGAAGCACTACTAGGCACCTTTAGTCTCAACTTCCTCGGTATCAAGAATCGAAGACGCTCGAAGCATAAAACTAGGAGTCGTTTAAATATAGTTTCATACATGACATCTGAACAAGAAGGCGAATGGTGAAAACAACTCAGCCTACACGTGCCTTGAATCCTGGTGTGCTGCCAGGCTCCAGCCCCTCCGTCTCGTCCAGCTCCGATGTGCACTCCCGTGGCCCTAACAAACGGCCAGCCTCTGAGAAGTTGGAGACTTCAACTTTTCGGCTGCAGCAATGGTGGTATCTTTTCTGAAACATGTTCAAGGCCCGTATTTATTTCTGATTGTCGGGGTTGTGTGCTCTCCACGGCCATGCCTTTTCTTAGCATTGACGGTTCTACATTGGCTGCTAGCACATGAAGGGACTCTTGGTCAGAGCGGGATGCTGGATCTCGCGAGTTCCGTTCTATGGGCACTGATACTCACATCTAACCTGACACGACCTTGCTTCCAGCCTTGGACGAAACAGCACCCCTAAAAGCCTCAAAAGCACAAGCCTAGATCCTCCGCTCCCGCTCAGGCAATCATAGCGCCGAAGATGCTTCTGATGCAGAGGTGCTCTCACCCTTGCTCTCAAGTTCCTGGGGTGTCTCCTGTACGACAAAGCGTTTGGGAACTCTGCTGAAGCACTTTTTGGAGGCACAGGGTTCCCCTGCAAAGCTTGAGCCGCGAGATTTGACTTGAGGAGTCTGATGCAGAGAGTATGGAAGAGTTCTTCTGCCAGTTCTGCGGCCGAGAGGACGCGTTCGATTGCAGTCTTAAAGTTGTCATTCCAAGCCGTCGGATTCTGCCTGAGTGGTGTTAAGTCCTAGTGGCACCAGGAACGATATATCTAAAACCCTGTGGGCCGTGACGGGTTCACACAACTACCCAAGAGGATGGTGATACCGAATGGCCAGGCAGGTGAAGTTCGACACTTCCCTCACATTGACCAAAGGATCCCAACTTCACTCTGGCTGCGCTGGACATCCACTACTGGCGGGAGTGTCCCATGTTGACTGCCTGCAAGCTGTGCGAGCAGGCGGGTTGGTAGTGGTTCATGACTCGAAATACGGAGCTGTGGTCTTGACAATGCTGCTTGGCAGGTGATCGAGATCTCGAGAATGCACTGGCACTTAATGGAGGCAAGGCCTATCTGAGCTGCGGCAGCAAAGGCTGGAGGCTGCTTGGAAAGCTCTGCAGGAGTGTGAAGCTGGTGAAGCGGCTGTGGCGCAAGCTCGTCGCTTCAGTCCAGAGAGGCCACACGCATGTCAGAAACAGCGAAGCTCATCTGTGGATCACAATGTGCTTTGGCACTTCGGTTTAGGTCTGGAAACTGCAGCCCAAACACCTCGACCCGAGGTGCCCGCTTTGCTTCACCAGGGTGTGTCCCACGGGTACTACTCCTGACGAGAGGGATTGGCGCGAGCCCGAGTTTGGACCTGTTCGTGATCAGATGTAGCTGCGGCACCTATCGGGCCGATTCATCATTGCTGGTGTCACTCAGACAGTCGAAGAAACGGCGTTGTTTCTGGATCTCAGTCGAGGCAAGAGCACCTGCTCGTGATGGGCTGCCCTTCGAATCCACGGGGTCAAGTGCATTGAGCTAATTTGGCCAGCGGCGCCTCAACAGAGCTGAGCTCATGCAATTGGCTCGCAGACGATGCTGATATTCTAGTCCTGCCATCTGTGTTTTGCACGCTGAAAAGCAGCTGCGAAACAGCTCTGGAGTGATCATCGCGAATCCTGGCAGAGCCGGTGCAGCTTCAGTTTGCCAATGACACATGTTTTCTACAGAGCGGCTATACTAGGGATGCGTAGTTTTGCTACTTGTGTCAGATCGTGTCGGTTGTTTGATGGTGCAGTAAAACTCTCGAGTTGGAAGGCTGCCAGGCTGCAAGAATCTGAGACGGGGTCCTCTCAGCAACAGCCTGCAAGCGAAAATCCGGGCTTTCCAGCTGTCTTGCAGGGTGCTTAGGGTTTAGGGTTTAGGGCTTAGGGTTTAGGGCTTAGGTTTTAGGGGGCCTGGTTGCCGCATGGTTGCCGCTCACCTGGCGTACATCCAAACACTTTTCGCACCTCTGAGGCAGCTGTGGTGGAGTCCGGGGATGCTACATGGTCCCTGGCTTGGGTTTAGGGATTACTGTAGTAATAGTAATCGCAATAATAAAAGCAATCATAATAGCAATAATATGATAATAATAATATTATTAAGAATAGTCATAATAATCATCACAATAAAAACAAGAAAAACAGCAATAATAATAGTGATAATAATGATAATAATAATGATAATAATATTACTAATAATAATAACAACAATGATAATACTAATCGTCATAATAGCAACAATAATAATGGCAATAATGATGATAGCAGTAATAGGGACCCTGAAGCCTCTGGCCTGGCGCCCAGGTCCACTCCGGTGTTCGCTGCCTTCAACCGCCTTTGGAGTCTGCAAGGGCATGTCTTGCTGCTGTTTTTCTTTTTGGTCTAGGGTTTAGGGTTTAGGGTATGTCTTGCTGCTGTATTTTTTTTGGTTTAGGGTTTAGGGTATGTCTTGCTGCTGTTTTGCTTTTTTGAGCTGTGATTATTGTCGGATATCGTCATGACACCTCATACTTGGTTTGACGATCGCGCTGAAACAGTAGTCGGTTGCTGACAGGTTAGCTGAATTTCGCTAATAATCGATTCTCTTCTTGCCTGCCAGAATGAGGGCCCATAGCAAAACGTTCTCCCTTGCTCGCTGAACTTGCAGTTGCTTCTTCTCGAAGTTGTGTCTACCCATGGGGTCATCTTCTGCCCCCCCGGAACCACTGTCCGTTCTCCAAGGTTCAAGTCGCTCTAACCATTCTCTTCGTCCGCAAGCTTCGGTTTGTAGTTCGCGGCAGACTGATGAGAAACTGGTTCATGCCGCCGTCCGTTTGTCATGTTTGAGGACTGTTCCTGGCTCTTTTAAGTCTTCTGTTGTGCGCTGGGTTTCCCGAAATTTGTTTGCCGCGACCCCTTGACAAGGGGGCAGTGAAATCCTAAGTGTAAGTTTCTACTAGGTGACGAGTGAAACGAAAGCTCATGCTCGATTGCACAGGAGAAACGAGCAGCTTTCGTGTAGCACATCCTTCATGCGTGGCAGCTGCATTGCAATTGCAAGTGTTGCGATGCGTGTCAGCAGGGTCTGTCACCCATGCCAAGCTTCGAATCATGCACTAGGCTCCCATAGTTTCACTCGGATGAAGATGTAACCCTTTGTGGATGCCCGTGGTGGTTGGCTGTCGGTCCTCCTGACTGATTGCAACCTCGTGGCAGGCATTCGCTTGGGAAGGCACAGTGCCACAGCAACTTCTTTGTGCCCCAGGGCTTCAAGTCCAGCTGGATGGTCATAGTGCTTGGGGGTAGGCGTTCTCCAAACAGTGTGTAATAAGGGTTCCGTCCTTGAGACTGAGGGTTTTTTTGTGTAGAGTACTGTTCCCACGAGGCGCCCCTCGCAGGCGTGCACCGCTTTGCCTTGGCTCCCGCTGCGGCCCGGTGCACATGTTGGTCTAAACTCGCGATCTTTCCGTCCCGCGCGGGCCATGCGGAATTCAAGATTTTTTGGGTGCATTCGAACTTGATGAATCGCGCTCGCATTTTGGTGGAAATACTTAGTGTTCCCGCCGCAGTCCCGTGGAATCGCTCGAAGTCGCTAAAGGAATCATTCGGCTCCTCGGGGCTCCCCGGTATTGTTCTCGAAATCCCGACGTCCTAAGTAAGGGTTTTCAAATTTTCCCAAATGTAGCAATCGTGCTCACATTCGCCGTGTGGGGTCCATGCTGGCATTCCTGGAGTACAGCTGTGTCCCATGTCTTCCGGAGTCGGTACTGGCCGCCTTCAAGACCTGTCCAGGCAGGGGAGGCTTAGATTACGTTGGAACGAGACACCTTGAACCAAGAGCTTGAATCAATTGAGTTGGCAGGTACTTCTGCATCTTTCCTCATGGTCATACTGACCGTCTTAGGCTCCGCATCGACTAAGTTGCTGGACCTGTGTAGTTCTTGAATTGGGGACGTAGGGTCGAGATCGTGTAGAGGATCGGTTGCGCATGCTGCCTTGAGAGGTGTTGGTTCCTGTTTGCGAAACCTCCCGGCAGAGGCTACAAGGACAGGGCACACCGGAAAGCCTTCCCCAGCGCTGTGCAGCAGTGCATGGTAGAGCATAGAAAGCCTTACTTGCACAAGGCTTCCAATCATTGCAGTAGTATCAGTAGTAGCAGTTGTGCTTTAGCTTTGGGCTCAAGTTAATGTCATCCATCTATTGGTCTTCTTTGCATCATGCCGGGCCTTTCTCACAGCTTGGAATACTATGAATCGCTGTGGTTGGAGGCCGTCTACTTGCAAGCTACCGCTCAGGCACCTGTTCCGGGGTCAGAACTGCAGCGCCACACACTGGCATGTGGACGCGTTCGGCCTCCCACACTTCCTAAGCCGAGAAGAACGGACTTGCGAGAAAGCCGGCTCCCTCACAGCCTTCGACTTCATCACCTCCCAGGTTGGAGGAGGAGACCGGGAAGAAACAGGCGGAGACTGCTTCGTCCTCTGCAACGACAGGCAAGCACGCACCTACACGGCCAATCACGGTTGAAACCAATTCCATGCCTGACATCAAGTACCAAAGCCCTGTCGATTTCCACACCATGGTTGACTATGAGCCGGGCCCCTCCCTAGCAGATCAGCAGGCTGCCTTGCCGAAGCGCGACCGGATAGTGCAGATCTGCCAGTCGGATCACATGTTTGAACGGGTCCACGCCCTCGCCACCATTCTCACTATCAATGAGAAGGCCTTCAGTGGAGGATTGAAGGTCTCGGAACAACTTCGGATGTGGCAGGACCGAATCAAGATCCTCTCCAGCCCCCCATGGATCCGGTTGCCCATTCTTCAGGCGGTGACCGACTCTGGCACAACGTGGGCAGACACCATGACGGCCAGACCTATCATGGGCGCGGACGGATTGCTCACTATTGCACTAGGTCATGGGGCTGGCTACCGCGAGCTCCCGCTACTTACTGGATATTTTGGATTGATCGGCTCCCTGTTCCAGCGCCTCTTGGATCAGCCAGAGATGGACGACCTCCTGGAGACTGATGACAACTTCGAAATCGTTGCCTCCACCATCAAGTCCATCTGTGACCATACCTGTCGATCCTGCGGTCTTATCAACCGCATTCTCATCTTCATGCCCGACAAGTCCGGCAAGGTTGTTCGCAAGCTTCGCATAGATCACAAGCTCGGAGATACCAAGGCCAAGCAACGCTACATTCGTCCGGACACACGTCAGTCCGAAGCTTCTGAGCCAGTCTGGGATAAGCGCCAAAAGGACGACTACAGCGGTCGCGGCACCAATGGTCCGACCAAGCATCGTGGCACCAGGACGACAAGTGGGGCACTGCCTCCTCCAGTTCCTGGAGTTGGAGCCGACATTGAAGGCAAACAGTGTCAAGGAGCCTCGGGCTATCCAGCTCTCTTTTTGAAGCAGGAGGCTCGGCCTAACTCGGTGCCTTTACATGGGCGTGAAGTCTCTTCACTTCTTGACCATCTGCAGCAGCCGCCCGCAGCCAAGCAAAAGAGACGCCAAGCGTGGAGTCCGCTCGCGCAGCGTTCTATTGCAAATTGCTGTTGATGTTGTTGTTGTTGTTGGTGGTGGTGGTGGTTGTCGTCGCGGTGTCGTCGGCATCATCGCCGTCGTCGCTGTCGGTGTTGTGGCGCTTCCGCTTTCTGCTAATCCCACTGGCGAAGATGTTTGCTCCAAAGGAGTGGCCTGTCGTCGACTGGCCCCCGGAGCTGGCTGGCCATCCTTGGGGGTTTCGCACTTGGCCCCTAATCTTCAGGTAGGAGAGTTCGGCATCTGCAAGGCTTTGTCGGGGAATGCTTCGGTTGTCGTCAGGCTTTTGACAGCCATTCCTCTCACTGTGCTTGCTTCCGGCCGAGGCCTTGTGTGCCGCTGGAGGAAGTGGAAGAGTACAAACAGGACCACAGCATTTCGACAAAAACTGCTTGAACGCAGAATTGCGCTGTTGATCTCTCTTGCAAAGTGCTATCTCTCTAGGGCGTGAGGGTAGGCACCGTGCAAGATGCCGTGTTAAGCGACAACAGAAGTTTTGTGCCGCGAGGCCGATGGCTCCATCTGCCTACTTGTCCACGCAACTGGTTTGGAGGACTCGGGGCTTGTATACTACAGTGTTTTTTACAGTGCAAGACGAATTATGGGATATCATAAATCGTAACATCGACTCAGAAAATGAATCTTCTTGCTGTTGTCATCACATCGGCGCAGAGCCAGTTTTTCATAGTGCAACTTCACTCAAGCGCCCAATGTTTGCAGACTGATCCCATCCAGGAGAATCGGTGAGGAATCCGGATTTGCTGATCTGTGCAGCAGAAGTCACGGAGACCGGAGTTGTTCGGCCACAAGAGCTGGGAGAACAAGCCTTGCAGAGAGCTCCGGCCGCAAGCGGCCGTCAGTCAGCAGCTTGCTGGCGGGGGCTGGCTCGCTTAGCTTGGGTTTGTGCTTTTGAAACCGACACCGCGAATAAGGACGAGGGCCGGCCTGGCCATCCCATGTATCTCCGCTTGTCCGGGCTCTAGCCGTCAATGTGCAGTCCGATAAACATGAATCCAAGGCCCTTGGTGATAAGTTTAGCCCCGACCCACCTCAACACTCACACTTACGGTGATGTCATGCTTAGCCTGATGGTTTGTCGTCCCGCAATGAAGCCCGGGGTGTGCTCCTGAGCTGCTTGCGCCAAGGCTTCCAGTTTGCTGTTCGACAGGGTCAGACTTTGGGCCCTGTAGTGCTGAGCTGAGGCCTGTGAAGGCGAATGGGAGGCGGGGCAGGCCGGGACCATGGCAAGGTTGTGCAATGTTGTGCGGTGTTCTTGAAGGATCGTTCAGACGACGGGTCTCCCACCGCAGCAGTTTCATAGCACATCGTCGTCTTTTCTTTTTGAGCCTTCAGCTTGCTGATGTCGTTCAGCGAGCCCATGTACATCACTGCGCTGGATTCACGGGTGGCAGAGCCGAGCCCTGGTTGTTCTGGGAACCTGGGTCCTAGCAGTTTTCTGCGGGTCTGTTTTCTATGAGCCTTTGCCTGGACAAGGCACCGTGGGATGTGACTGAGGCTATACATCACCGTATCAGATGGTCGGGTCAAGACGACACTGGCTCGGGATGCGTCCCAATCGAAGGAGGTGGAGACCACGTATGATCCGCATGACCCGTATGTGCAAGCAGGTGACTTGTCCCTCAGGCACACTTGAGGTTTCCATTCCAAGCCGTTGGGTTGCTTGCAATGTGTCGGGTAAAACGAGTTAGCGTGCGCCAAGCTGGTCTCTAGTTGCGCGGCTCAGGTATTTGCCGCACGGGGTCGGACCCGGCATCTCACCTCAATTGCATCAGCTTCACTCCGCTCAAAGTAAAGTGGAGTTCTATTGGCTGATTGGTTTCGTTAGTTTAAGTGCAGAGCCGTGATGCTTGTTGTGCCGAGGACTTCACCAATATGTCCTGTAAAGAGGAAATGTCCAGCACTTCGTTGAGATGTATCTCAGCATCCAGCAGATGCAGCAGCAGTGACAGTACCACCTGCAGTGCAATGGCTGCTCGGTTGGATATCTTTCAGGCATTGACTTGTTGACAATGTCCGACGCTTGGCTTTTGGTGAGGCTTCTCCCGCCGACCGTCGCGCGGAGGCCCTTCCCCTGCTCCGCAGGCATGGCGAAACGACCTCGAATTCTGATAATTCTGGCTTCGGCAGTACCGTAATGTTGGGATTTGACCCGAAAGGCCGAGCAGTCCGCAGTGTCAAGCACATGAGATGACAAGCACGAGGCGGGTCGTCCCGGAAATCAAAAGCCTGCGAGGAATTACGCATGTCGAGTCTAGTGGCTACATTTGTCCGGCTATGGCAGAAAAGTCAGGAAGATGTAGCAAAATCACCACCGATGTGGTGCGGTTTCCGCCAGCTCTTGAACTGCCCGCAAGGCTTCTCTGGTGTGAAGGTAATGCTGAAGGACGAATGGAACAGATGCAGGCCCAGAAAACTGACAGCGCGCATGTCTTCTTCCGGGTCTCATCGCATCTTGCTGTTGGGCTTCATGGTGCCGCAAGACGCATGTTGCGCCCTCTTGCCCTTGCCCACGAGAGGTTGTCAGAGGCTGTATAGGTTGTGTAGCTACTGCCTGTGGAAGCTCGAAGCTCACGAGAGTTTCGATGCATTGTTGGCAAGTTACTGCCAGAGACTTTGCAAAGCTAGCAGGCACTGGCGAGGCAGTTCCACTGTGGCACACTGTCTCACTTCAGCTCTCCATCAAGCTTTACTCGCTGGTTCTTCGAGCAAGGTTCCCGGCCTGTCACTCGCCTGCAAGCAAGCCCCTCTGTGCCCAGAGTTTGGCCAATCGCGACCGCTACATGCAGCGGACCGCATATGCAAAGGCATGCAACACTCCATGCCCCCTCGCTAGCCCGCTATGCATATTATGACGTACGTACGAATGTACAGACCTGCATAAATGCATGCCCCCCAAACCAACAAAAAGAAAATAATAGAACACGTCTTTCTGCCGCTCTGCACGGTTGTGCTTATGTTTTCTTGCTTATGCTGCTTCGTGCTTATGCTTTCTTGCTTGTGTTTTTTGGCTCTTGTGCCTTGTTGCTTATGATTTTTTGCTAATGTTTTTTGGTGCTTTGTGCCCTTGTTGCTTATGATTTTTACTTATGCATTGTTGTGCGTATGTTTTTGTGCTCATGTTTGTTTGCTTATACTTCCTTGCTTATGCTGCTTGGTGTTTATGCATTTTGCTTATGTTTTTTCGTGCTTGTGTTTTTTTGGCGTACGTTGATCGTGCTAGTTATATATTGCAGCATCACCGTTACAAAGCGTGATGCCTTGTTGTTCAGACGCGGGAAGGTTCTTCATGAAATCCTTTCCATGAAGCCCGAATCCAAACTAGGGGTCGGGATTGCAGGCCCTCGGTGGTCTGAAGCTTCGGTGTCACGCGGGTGAATGCATCGGGCAACCAAAGATGAAATTGCAAGGTAGCCGAGCTGGGAGCTGTGCTCGTAGCTGGCTGGCGCGAAGCGAAGCCTTGTTGGGGCCCAAGGTCTCTGGATCTTGTAGGAGACGAAGGGATGACTTTTCATAAGTGTTTGAGTTTGGTGTCTGATAGGCTTCCTTCGGATAAGAAATAGCCATGTACGTAGCTCAATGCTGCAGACATGGTGTTTGGTTTCGTGAGCATGTGGGCGCACGGCTTGAGTGCTTGAGCCACAATGTCTGTGGCGCTGACATGCCACATCATGCGCCGAAACTGGGCCGAGGTGGTGCTGCAATAAAAGCAGCCATAACTGGAGACACAGGAGGCTTGCGCAAAGATTGCAAGCGTGGAGCACTCAGTTTTGCAGGCTGCATGGGTGCTGCCATTGGGACTCGCATCTGTCATTGCTGGCCTCTTTTGTGCCCTATGCCCCGTCTCTGAGCCAAGACAATCTGCCAAGAGGTCTGCTGTGATCTGCTGTGGGTGTAGGTGGGCTTCGTTCCGCACATCGACTGCAACATTGTTGTTGGTCTTACGTGTCTCGCTTCCCGAGGCCCTGAAAAATGGGATCGCAAGCTTGCAGCTGACATAGTGCGTGCAATGATCATTCTCCCTGAGAACCCAAAGCATTCCAAGCGGGCTGCAGAGTCTTGGCTGGTACCCAAGGATTTTGATAATTTGATCATTTGCGGTTCTCGCAGTTTCGAATCGATTCGAGTCGAGTTGAGTCTGTTACACTACACTTCCTGCAATGCAGTACGCTGCTGCATACCTTGAGTATACAAATAGGTCCCAGATTACACACACTATGATCCATTACGATCTATTTCACCACGGTTGAACATTGTGGAAAAACTGGGGTATACTTTGGCTCCTGACAGTCTTTTCGATTTTATGAGACGGACTCAACAGGATTCTGATGTGTTAGAGTTTCTTGTAAGAAACATTATGTCGTAGTATGTCACCCAGGTATTGTCATTTTCCAGTTTTTTTTCCGGGTTATCTTCGTGTATTTGTTTTGGTGTCTTCTGTTTCCTCGCCTCCTTTTCTACCGCTTTCTGGTGCAATTTAGTGCTGGACCGGAGCCGTTGTGCCTGGAACTTTGGTGCCCCTTGCAGAGCATGGATGTTGGCCGAGGACTGGATCAGATCAGATGATTTCCTGAGCCAGATTTTGGAGTTCAGGGTAGTAGACACTTCAGCAGAGCTTCCTCATGTGCTTGCACAGTTGAGCGACACCCAAGCACGGCCTGTCGTCAGGCTGCGGTTTTAGCGAAGGCTTTCATCTACTTCGCCGTGTTGCATTGTTCACCCACCGTAGCTGCTACTGGTAGGAAATTGAATAAGAGGAGATGGGGTGTGGTTCTCATTGAAACGCACACTTCACAAGCAGCCCCGAAAAGACGCCGATGCTGTGTTTGGAGCATCTGCCCCTAAGTTTGCGGCTGGTCTGCCGTGATGCCTCGCTGACTTATGCGTGAAGCATCCGCCTTTTTCCTGAGCCGCTTGCTGCGTCTGTCTCTGGCAGAGAAGCACGCCACAGCATGCCGAATAAGGGTTTGCCGCCCGCGGCGAGCCGTTCACGTTGGACATGCGGGTGGGCTCAGATTAGGCATTGTAGCATCAAGACTAGACACTCGCATGCTACTCGTGGCCGTGCAGCAGCTGATATTAGTTGGACTTCCGGAGCCGGGACTCTCTTCACTTAGAGGCTCAGATTAGATAGCCCAGAAGAAAGTGAACTCCTGGAAGCCCAAATGTCAAGATGTCCTAGATGCACAATATGCTATATGGAACAGTACAGTTTTGAGTTCGGGTCGTTGGATCGTTTAATCGAGCTGAGACCGTGCTTTTGTACAGGCAGCCTGTGCCTTCCTACTGCTATGCGATTCGTGTTGGTACATAGGCCACATTTGGTAGACTCGTTTGCGTTTCAGAGACGAAGTTCGAATCATTTTGGTACACGATCGCAACTCGCAGGAGCTCAGGCAGAAGGTGGCTGCCTGTTCCATTTTTGTTCTGCTCTCCCCTCGGCCAATCACCACACGTATGATGTGTGCTGAATCGCCGTCTGGCAAGTCAAGAAAGTGCTTGCAGAGAGCAGCCCCACCAGAATAGTGCACCCATGGATTGCCGCAGAAAGGTGGTAGTGAGCCTTTCCTCTGCTGCCAAAGCCAAACCTGGCTGTGGCCGATGGCTGATGCCATTGGTAAATTTGCGCAGGCATGGACCTTTCTGGTGGTGCGCAGCCGAAAATGTCCGCGTGAGTTTCTGGCAATTTTTTTGGACGGTGTGCTGCGACAGCAGTTGCAGTGCAGATCCAAGTGCAGGCTGCGGAGGTTTCCATTCAGGTACAAGTGGGGTTGACAAATCAGGTTGTGACAGGTGAACCTGCAGACTGCAAAGGGTGTGCTCGTCGTGTGGTTGTTTTGGAGCTGCGACTTGCTGCGACGAACAGATGCCACCAGGATGCCGGTGCACGGCTACCCTAAACCACTGCTGTATGGCACAAACTTGAGAGATATGCTTGCTTGATGCAATCGACGGTAGTACACCACTCCCGGTCCCGCTCCGTGCTAAACATATCTGCATGACATGCAAACAACTGCACCACAAGATTACACACTCTGCATGTATGTGTGTGTGTGTGATAGTCCATCGCAACTACGATGCGCTCCTCTGCTAATGACCGGTCATAGGCTGCAGAATAGTGCCAGTCACTTTAGCAATCAGTAATCGTGGCGGAACTTCAGGTTGCTACAGTGCTCATAAAGCTGCAGCTACTAGTATGGGAAATGTGAGGCACAAGCTGCTAGCGGACTTGAAGAGGCTGCAACGAAGTATTGTGAACTTGGCCGCGTACAGTGCCCTGCTGTCTTGGACTGTGCAACATGTGCCACTAGGAGTTACGATACTCCAACAACGGCCATGTCAGACTACTGCATGGTACCATGGATATGTTTTCGATCATCACACGCGAGGCGCCGAAGAGTCAGCGCTGTCAGCATTGCCCTTGGACGCAGTGTTTGCTTCTGCCCACTGCGAGTCCTTGCAAACTTCATCTGCGATCATCAAAGCTGCAGATACGGGAAGAGGCAGCCGTCATGCTTTGGACTCTGAGGTTTAGATAGGCGAAGTCCATGCCCTCACCTCCGAAGCAGGACACATGGTACAATAGTAGCCTATCTGAGAAGCCCACAGACAGCAAGTTCTCGCGCATTGCAGCCATCGCTGATCAGATCGTGCCGCGAGGAAGAGGAGGAGCAGGACGAGCTGGCGATTGATGGTGGCAGCACAAATGCGTGGCACTGGGCAGACTCCGATGCAGAGGCAAGAAGACGTCCGAATGGGAATTTTTGTCAGAATGCTTACGTAAAGCCGCATGCAATCTGCAGCTACACGCAGTTAAACACATAGGCGAGTGTACACAACTTGCGATGTACCATTTTTTTGAATCTGATCGTACCCCGTCGTGCTTCACAGCATCTCACAGCCTGTCTCGCTTGGTAACGATTATTAACGATATGTTGTTGCCATATCTGTTGTTGCTTCTGCGGTGTCTAACTGTCGCTTGCATTCCTCCAGCATCGTATGGTATTGCACAGGTATTCCATGATCGGGGGTCAGGGTTTTCTGGCATATTGGAGTATCTTGTGCCATCTTGTCGTCCAGCGTAGCATCCGGATTGCTGGCACATAACAGCACACAGTAACGAGGTGCATCTCCTCGTGTTGCCATTTCTTTGGTGATTAGAGTATCCTGCACGTCTTGTTGCATCTAGTAAATTCTATCCCCGCAGGTTGGTCCGTGTTTGAGACACGTTATATGCATTCAGAGCATGTCAGAACCCGATGTACCTCGCTGTTATTGCAGTTTTCAGAAAACTGGCGAGACTTTCTAGGTTGTGATGAAAACCCAGAGGGTGTCGCTGGTTTTCACGGCTTTTCATCAGATGGGCTCCTTGTGGACACCCTTGTTGCTTTACAGCATTTCAGGTGGGCTTCCCCGGTTTTTGCAGCAGCTCGTGAATTTTCCTTACGTGTATCAAGGAAATGTGTGATTTGATCCGTTGGTTTTTCCAGCATTTTTCTGCTGCGCTCCAAGTGGATTCCCATGGCTTTACCGCATTATTTTTTTGCGTATCGAATATGTTTACAGTGGGTTCCGGTGGTTTTCACGGCATTACAGGGCTCCGAGTGGGCTCCCTTAATTTTTGCAGCATTTCAGGCGGGTTCCTGGTTTTACAGCATTTCAGTGGGCTCCGCATGGGTTCCCGAGGATTTTCACAGCATGTCTTAAGGCGTGGCAGGTTCGCCGTGGGTTCCGTTGCTTGTTGCAGCGTTTGAGCTGGGCTCCACGCGGCCTCCTTTGGTGTTTTTACAATTCGAATCGTACAGGGGTCGCTGGCGGCTTTCGCTTCAGGTAATGTCTGGTACGGGGAAGGCAAGGTCTGGTAAAATAGCGACTCCCCTCCTTGTCTTGGAAGAACCCCGTTGCCCGTTGCGCAGTCTCTGCTTCATTTTCCAGATGAGTTCGATCTTCAATTCGTTTCGGGCGGCTGCAAATGCCGGCTCCGTGAAAGGCAGTAGCTGCATCTGTCTGACTATTTTGTATTCGCTCATGCAGCTGGGCAGAAGACACCTAGCACATGGGAGTAGATAGCTGAACATATGGGTATCTCATACTGCATACTGCCTATACTATTGCAAACGCAGTAAGACGGAGCGCAGCACAATGTGTAACGATATGTCGTGGTCTGACGGACGTTGATGCCGTTGATGTGGCCGGCATGGCATGAACGATTATGGTTGGGCGTGACATATGTCGTATGATCCGCTGCGCAGATCTTGGTCTACTACACCCCTCTCGCATGCTCCTGTATTCTCTGATTGCATGTTAGGGGTCTGTAAAAATCGTACGCTTACTGGTGCAGTGCGAAGTGCAATTGTGGCTATTAGTTCTTTCTCAGAAGTTTCACCCCTGCAACCTGAGAGTTTGCGGTGAAGCCTATGGAAGCATCTGTGGTGCAACTTGGGCATGCTTGCTTCTCCATCAGCTGTGTGCAGGTACCAGACGAAGAGCTCCCAACTCCACCCAGGATTCCACAAAGGTTGAGACTTTCTGTGATCCTACTGGGCAACGACGGCAATGCTATCGACAAGGCCACCAGCCTTGGCACCCTTGCGTGAGCTCAGTCACAACTCGCGCAGGAGATCGCCGGCTATCGCCCGCCTTCACCCAAATTGGATGAAGTGGCCGACTTCTTGTGGGATTTGGAAGTTGCCGACGAGGACTTGCACACTTCGACAAATTTGAGATGGGATATTTAGCAGCCTCTACTATTTGGTCACACACGCGTATTTTGCCTGGTGCCCGACTCTGCTTGCAACCAGGGACTTTTTCAGGTATTCGTGTTCTGGGGAAGCCGTGAAAATACTGCTTTCATTTGTGGATTCGACCATGCTCTGCCAGCTAGGCTATTTTTCATTGATATGCGGACTTGAGAGCAAGAGTCCAGTAGTCGCAGCCAGTTGCAGCAATCTCAAACAGCGATTTGAAGCAGCTGCTGCAAAGAAAACGGTATTTGCCGCCCTCTCCACCCCTTCCCCCCTTCCCCCTGAAGTCCGAAGTGCTAAAATTTCAAGTCCGAAAGCGGAAGTCCGAAATACCGAAAACTCAAGTCCGAAATCCATGCACGCACAAACATGAACAAATCCGGACAGAAAGCCACGCATTAGCACGGCATGAACGGCATTAACATGACTCTAAACCTCCGCCTCTTGACCGTAGACTAACAGCGCATTGTAATATTTTGATGCAGGTTCAGGACGTGCTGCAAAACCAGCACGGCGCAAGCGCGCGCAAGGGCGAGCGCAAGGGCGATAAAATAGTACAGGAAGGTTTATCAAGACTTCAAGGTGGGAATGTGTTTAAAACCGTGTGCGCAAGAGCACGCAATGGTGAAGCGCAAGACGATTTTCGAGCTACGGGCTGCAACCATAATAAAGGACAACCCCTGTGCCGACTTAGCCCTCCCCGCGGGCAACCCCGCACCAATCTGTGCGCGATTGTGTGCAGTTTTTTTTGGCGACAGCTCCATCAACCGGCAATGCGAGGACCTTGACCTAGACTCCATGCCGCAGACGACGGTATTGTTGCCACCTCAGACGAGTCAGCGACACGTGCATTTGCAGTCCCTGAGAATGGGTTTGTCAGGCCAGCCGCGAAACGAAATCATGATGACAGCCTGGGCCGCTGCCGCAAACTGGCGGACCCCGGTGTCCTCTCACTCCCCAAAGCAGAACAGTCTTTGGAAGCTTCACGACTCGAGGTCCTAGGCCGTTTGAGCTTGAGTTAAGCTTCCGCCTCTACCCCAATCCGCTGAGCACTCCGATTTAGCCACCTCGAACGACCAATGACAAAGAAAGTCAATATCCTAAGCCCTGCAGGATCCCAAGCTGCCAGCTGTCAGCCACGCCCAGCCGGGACTGCTTGAGTTGGTTCTAGTCTGCCGCAGTGCAACGCTCAAGGGAGCTTTCGGATGGACGGTGCCTTGAGATTGCTGAAACAGCGGCTTGGGATTTTCTGACTCGCGCCAGAAAGCCATATCGTTCGTTTGAGAGCCCTCGCATGATCGTGGACAAGGCTCGTGTGAGTAAGTTCCAACACGAACGGCATTTCAGCAACTTTCTGCGAGGTAGCGACGCTGGTCGACAAGATTTCTCAACGCATATCGTCTGACACGGATGGTGCGCATGAGGGTTGACAAAGGGTACCAATGCGCTAAGATTGCAACCCACCACGGTGGAGTCAGGTACCATTCTACCTACGCCACGCTCACCGCCTGTGATGGGAAGGTTGTCCAGGGCTATCGAGGCTCTGGGTGACTCGCTGCTCTCGTTGTCGCTGTTGTTTCCAAAAATCATCAGAAATCGAACTCGTGAAACAGTCGGTGTACCCAAGCTTTGCAGGTTGGAACAAAGTTCAAGGATGTAACGATCCCGGCATTGCGATCCACCGCAAGAGAAGAGGCCCGACAAAGTTCGATTGTGCGCTTAGCGGTTCAGTTTTCTTGTTTGAGTCCTTGCCATGATTCTTCGTCCAGACGTTTGTAAGTTTTTCGCTAGCGCGAGAGCCGCCTCGGACCTGGTCCGCGCTGCTTGGGGAAGCCGGGAGGAGGGGGGCTGGGGGCGGAGGGGGCAGTGGCGCATCCCGATGCCGGAAAAAAGCTTGGAGGAGCGGGCAGGGATACAACGTCAACAATCACAGCTGCGCAAAACCGGGAGCCGATCTACGAGAAAGTGGCCCTGGGAGGGGGAACGAGGGCGTGAGTACAAAGCAATTACATGACAACTGATGACTTGTACGAGAATCTGATCTAGACGCCCTGGCCTTCGGCTTCGGCGGAGTAGTGTTTTCATGATTGTGACGAGGAGGCACAGAAGGAATAGGTGATAGCGGTCAGTAGGTAGTAACACCAGCAGTAGTGGTGGTGGTGGTGGTGGTGGTGGTAGTGGTAGTCGTCGTCGCAGTAGTAGTAGTAGTAGTAGTAGTAGTAGTAGTAGTGGTAGTGGTGGTAGTGGTAGTGGTAGTGGTAGGGGTAGTGGTAGTGGTAGTCGTCGCCGTAGTAGTATTAGTAGTAGTAGTAGTAGTAGTAGTAGTCGTGGTGGTGGTGGTGGTGGTGGTGGTGGTGGTAGTGGTAGTGGTGGTAGTAGTAGTAGTAGTAGTAGGAGTAGGAGTAGCATCAGCAGCAGCAGCAGTGGCATTTAAATTTGTAGTCGTGGCAGTAATAGCAGTGGTACTAGTACGAACAGTAATTCTACCAGGAATTCTACTAGTTCGAGTATTCAGCAGCAATAGCAGCAGAGTAGCCAGTAAGTAGCTATCGTAGTAGCCAGCAAGCAGTAGCTGTAGCAGTAGCCAGTATCCCCAGCCTACATTGTAGCAATGATCCTGGCCAGCGTGGTATTGCGCTTTCAGGCCAATATGTCTCGGGGTTTGACAACTCCTTGGCGAGCAGAGGCCAGTCTCTGGCCTGCCGTCCATGACTTAATGGCCCTCTGAATCCTTACAGGGTTCTGGGACCGATTTGCGGCTCGGGCACCGAGACTAATCACTAATCTAGAATGCGAGGCTCTGAGTTCCAATCTCGGCACCTGCTGAGTACAGATTTGAGTTCAGGGGCATCCAACTAACTCGCCCCTTCGTTACTGCGTTTGTGCACGTGGTGATGTAGTGTAGCCAACAACTTGAAAGCAGCACCCTTGTACAGGGCAGCCTTTCCTAATTTGCTTGAAGACTCGAGGGAAGGAGCGACCCCGACTGGCGAAGATGAGACGCGAATGGCATGGAAAGGTTCAGAGTCCGGGCCGCTGTTTCCGGTTTTATTAGCATCCGCATCCCAATCCCGAAGGCACAGTGAGCGCCCAAGCTTCTGACGCCAGGCGGTTCAGCCTGGGAGCAAGGCGGCTGCAGCCGAGAGCCTGCAAATTGACGAGGTTCCCGGAAAGTGCACGCAGATGCACAGTAGTAAATACTAGGGGACGCTGCCTTTCGCGGCTGTGTGGGTTTACAAGGCGGCATTAAAGGGTATTTTGCACGGTATAATGCTGTGGTGATGTGAGTGGAAACTTTTCGGTTTGAGTTTGGAGATGGGGCATCAAGACCGCCCAATATGCGAGCGAACTTGCAACATGTTTGTTTTGGGAACTCTGTAAGTTCATTGCAGCAGACCACTCGCTCGCAGTTCGAGAATGTCGCGTGTGGCACGCCGTGCCAAGCAAAGATTTGCCTCGGTGAGACGTCTGCTCTAGTTTCGAGTCTCAAGCCTTGAACGTGGCATCGCCGGGGGGGATACATGCACCTCCCTGGTTTGTCGTCGTGGTTGCCAAGAATTGTGATCTGGACAAACAGGCTAAAGAGCTTGATGTTGTGCAGGTGGGGCTTCTTCAAGTACAGGGAAAATCTACTCAACTAGAAGCATTTGTTGTCAATGTGTCTTCTACACAGGTTCTGGAAGGTTGACAGCGCATTCCTGAGAACTTCAACGCGACAGCTCGTTCCACAAGAGACCAGACACTGACTGGGTTGTTGCAGCTTGAAGGTGCCGTGCATTTACTCCTTTCTGCGCAAACAGTTTGCCGACGTGAACTTGCACAATCGGAGGCGCCACTCTGCGTGTACAGTCAGATCGGCCTGCGCCGTTTGGGCAGGGCTGTGACGGAGTCCGACTTGATCTCGTTCGTCCGCTCCAGAGCAAGACATATGGGTCATGCTCGGGGCTCGTTGGGGCTCCGGACATGGACGGTGTGTGGGAAGGAGGGGCAGGCTACAGAGAGGGTAAGCCCCGGCCAAGGTTCCCGCAGACTTCGAAGATCTTCTTCGCGAAAGTGGCCGACGTGCAAAACTCAGACGTTGCGATTTTGGGCGTCTCGTGGCTTGCGCCGTAAGGGATGATGCAGTGCAATTCGTTCAATGAGGCTGCTTCCAGCAGGCCGCTGTGCGAAAGGAAGGTATCCGCTCAGAGGCGGTCTCTGCTAGACAGCCCTTTCCATGCTGACGCTGAATCTGCAGTGCAGGATTGGGTTCACTTTGGCTTGCTTCTGGTGTCTTCACCTTCAGCGCCCACGCAGCTGCTGAACAGGCATCGTGTCTCGAAGTTATTTCAATGCCGATACTTCTTATCGGTTTGCGGTAGCCGTGCCCCGTGTGAGCCGGGACTAGTAAGCCTCGGCTGTTGCTGCTTGTAGCGTGTAGCTCCTGGCCTTGGAGCAGTCGCCCCTTCATGGAGTCCGGTTTAGGATGTGGCCATGAGCGGAATATTCACCCTGGTCTACACAGCTCTTGCCTGTTGTCGCTTCAAACTTCAGATCGTTAACATCACCCTAGGGCTAAACTGATTGAGCATGTCTTTCCAGGCGGCTACGTCGTGAACTGGTCGCACCGACGCTTTGCAGTGCCGGGACTCCGTTAGGCAGCTTTAGGGGGAGAAGGTCAAGCTTAAAGGTTGCAGGACGGTCGTGAGTGAGAAGCAGGAAGCTTCGCTTCTTCGGGCTCTGTCTCTGCAATGAGCCAAAAGTTTATCTACATCCCAGCAGACACACACACACACATGCATACACACATGCATTTAACCGAAAGCCACGCTCCAGACCATCTGGAGCAGAAGTCTTGTTGGTGACGTGTGCAGTAGCAACGCATTCTATCGAACTGAGCCGAGCGCACGACTCAGAATGTCGGGAGAGTTTCTCTTTCGTGCATGTTCCTGGGCATGGGTGTTGCAAACCCTCCGAGCTACGAAACCTGGAAGTGAGGGCGACTGCTTCAACCCACTGTTTCAGCCTCACTGGGCCGGAAAAAATGATATACGCCACCTTGCCAGCAGACCAACAGTTCAGAATTCGCTCAACCTCTGCCCCATCTGGAATCTAAGGCCTGCATGCTGTACAGTATCCTTTGAAGACGAACAGAAGCAAGCCTTCCAGCGGTGGGAGACGCATTGGAAGAACAAGGCATCTCATCTGGAGTTGCTCCGCTCACAAATGGAGGATTTCGGTGTGACACAGGAGTACCGCGATGCATCTTCCACTCAACGCGTGCTGTTCGATGCTGCGCTGGACAGCATGAGATATGTGGTGGCGACATACGGCATCTGCTTTGACACACTTCTGGAGTATGCTGCCGGAATGTTGTGTTTCTCATGTCAGCCTCACTGGCATCACCAACTCCTTCTGGACGACTCCAGGGTGTTGCTTCTCAGGATTGAGGAAAGCTCGAATAATGAGCTTTGGGACCACTGCAGCCCGTTGAGCTCTGCTGCGAAAGAGTTGGATCATCGGATACAAGATTCCATGTTGGCTAAGCGCTTGACTTCGTCTTACATTGATTTCCGAATGTTTGATGACAGGATCCGCCTGTCGCAGTACATGGAGTCAGTTGGACGCATCATCATGCGGGGCCCCAACGAGCATGCTCTGAAGAAGACCTCTGATCTGTCGGGAAGTCCGTCCAAAGTGGCGGCGCTTCGGTTATTGAGTGATCCACATCCTAAACATCAGACTATCCAGAATCAGAGCTCCAGCATGCAAGGACAGTCTCGCTTCATCTCTCCCGTGGAAGACGGCCGTAAGTCTGGCTTTGTTTTCCATGTCTTCCCTCGAGATCCGCTTCCTGGAAGCGGAGGGCGAAGACCTTTCATTCTGGAAGGCTGCCTCCTGCTCCTTCTGCAGGTTGTATAGTAAGATCAACCGAATTATTGCGGCTGTGCTCCAAAAAGATAGCCCGCTTGATTGTACTACCACTTCTTTCAACTGAGCGTGACCACTGCTGCTGTTGCAACAACAACAACAATTATTTCTGCTGCTGCTGTTGCTACTACTACTACCACCACCACGACGACGATGACTACTACTACTACTAGTACTGGTACTAAAGGACCTACTATTGCTACTACTACTGCTACCACTACTGCTCCTTCTACTATTATGACTGTTATTGTTATTGTTATTACTACTACTACTACTACTACTACTACTGCTGCTACTCCTACTGTTACTGCTACTGCTACTCCTGCTCCTGCTCCTACT